ACTGGTAAAGGCGTTTGGTGGCTACAACCGATGCTCGTGACTGGTGTGTTTTCAGGGGTCTGACCAAAACAACCACTCGATATAAACCCAAAACCATTCCGCGGATTAACAACACTACTTGTGATTCCATCTCATACAAGTGAGTTCATTTCAGGTAAAATCTTAGATTTGAGTGGCTTAGTTAACCCAAAAGTAAGCTCTTATATAGCCGTTGACGCAGCCGGGTCACCAAAATGGAGAGGTCAGAAGAAATTTCACACAGCACAAGCTGGCACTCCGGAACAGATCTAGTTAAACATTGCATGATTATACATATTTAGGGACTGGGACATCTACCTCATCTATAAATGAACACGATTTCTTCCCAATGTAAAGTGAGTACAACGTTACATAAACATTTCTGCCGCTTACCGGAGAGTAATAGGTTATCCGCACGTGGACGGTCACATAACCAAAGAGGGGTCAGCCATGCTGTTCATAATTATATTATCATTCACGCATACATAATATATCTGTCATATATAAAAGTGCTACATTGGCAAAGTCAGATAAATACTTTGACAATGCAAAAGCTTAACAATGAGAGCATTCTTATCTGTTGCAGTTGTTTCAAAGAAAAGTAAATTTTCTTAGCCACGTATGGTAGTGATCCCGGCACCTGTCATCAAGTGCTTGATTAATTGCTCTTTATCGTCATCCTGTAGAAAAGAGGCTTGGGCTGCTCGAAAGTTTGCTTTAACCAGTTGGTGAGCAGTCATACCAAAATCCCGCATACACATGAGTTGCTCTCCAAGTTGCCATTGTCCGGTTACAGTCGGATCATCAGTGTTGATGGAGAAATTCACATCGTCACGAATGAAATGGTGTATAGGATGTTGTTCCCAATCAATTGGCACGGAACCCGTCAGCAGACTAGAAAGGGGGCACAGCTGAAAACGAATAATTTGAAGAAACGGGCAATTAATTAATCGAAGTGTGGACCACCATACTATTCCTTAGAAAGTGAAAAGGTATACGAGTGAGAAAAACAAAACACACCATTTTTGTTTTTCAGGTTAAGCAAGGTAACGTGAAAGTATTTGGAATAAGCTGAATGTTTTATCAACATGACAAGGAAAGCTGAATTAGCCATGTCCGGCTTATTTAGCGTCCTCAACCATAAGCCAAATTCAGGCCGGAAGAATCGGGGCACATAAATGCTTGAGTGCTGAACCAAACGACCTATCAGTTAGGCACGGGGTGGCGCTGTGGCAAATGCAAACTTATTGTGGGAGTAGCGTTCAGCGGCCTATCTTGAGTGAAGACAGGAGCTTCAAGTACAAATTGAAAATTGAGTCAGAATAATTAGGTGAAGGCCACTGCCAAATAACTTTATTTATTGCCCTTTTAAGGGACAGTTTTCTTATGTCGGTTTAATTAGGATCATGCCTGCAATTAACGTACTTTTTCACCACCCGAATATTTTGAGATTAAAAGGACAGTACTTTT